CTTCCGTCACCACATCCAATTTTGTCCAATCATGCAATTGTATTTTCAGCCGCGCCACCTTAATTCAAATCTCGTCACATTCGAGCAGCCATTGGCGTCGCCTTTTGGGTTTTCCATCTCGGCCTATTCAAATTTTTCATTGTATTGGGTAATGCATAGGAACCGAATGTATGAATGCTCGTGGAGAAGGGGAGTTTTGCCGGGCCAAAGAATTGACAGCATTCAATGTCGGAATCACAAAGCACACAGTGCGGAGGGCCAGACGGACTATCAAATGTATAAAGACGCCCGTGTGTTGTATTTTTTTCTTTGTGACGCCTCACAACATTCAAAGTGAAAATGCATAGATGAGTGTAGATGACGGGGGAGGTTCGRGAGAGAGGCAGAAAAGCATAGAGTTAAATCGAGTCCGGATGCATCCGAGTATGCGGGCAGAACATCACACCACACAAGGCACAAAATGACGAAAGCGAGATATTCAATCACGAAACAGGCGCCGCAACAACGGGAACGTTCGTGATAATTGAAATCCAACGAGAAAGAACAATATTGTCGACGACAAACACGCCGGGGACATGACGAGCTCACCCGGAGATATTCTGGTAGTGACAGTCAGTTCTGCTCTGAACCAAACCGATAACACCCACCAGTCCCTCACGGAAAAAATGAAAAGGAACAAATTTCGTTCGGAGAAGAACGAAATATTCTTCTACGTCAACCCTTCTACACTACATAATCAACAAAGAGATAGACGCTTACCTACTAACATCGCAAATCGCCAAAGTTAGTCTAGCTCTGATAGAGGAGATGTGTCTATGGGAGAAACCAAAAGGTGGACGTAAACCTCTCACTAGCCCCGTCGTGCTGCCGAGAAACACCTTTCACGTTGACCTCGCGAGCGAAGTGGTCGAAAGTGTGACCATCACCGGCGGCACCTGCCACCGTGTTCAAAAATTTAACAGTTTTATCCAGAAGTGCGGAGTAGAAGGAATCTTTGGATGACGAACACGAGAAAGAATCATAGATTTCCAAAACACGTATAGAGAAGTCAATGGCCAAAAGGCTCCAGTGTTCGTCGTCCTTGTGCACTAGTGTCAAAACGAGGTCATGAGACAAGAGGTCGACATCTTTAGCCCATCTGAGAACAGCTACCGGACCTCGCAGAAGTAGTGAAGAGGCGAAGAAGGAGTTAAAGGTGTATGTCTTCATGGTAGCGGCAGTCCGGCCGCAGTCGTCCAGTAGCATCGCCATGTAGAAATTGACAACCTCATCGTTGAACTCCCCGGATCTATCCACGAGTGCGACGATGTCCTTGACGGATACCTGTAAACTGTGCGACGGCAAACGCGCGACGATGATAGTGAGCGGCAACCGGGAGCAGATAACGTCTTCAAGGACCGCTCTTCCATCTCRAGGAAACCCTGTTCAACAAACACCCGCAGCACATAGCAAGCACAAAGGACGGGGCACTATGAGAAAATGTCGTCCTAGCGGCCATGGTCCGAGGAACCGCTGCTCTGTGGTCCGAAAAGTTCACGCATAACGTCACTCCTACTTTTGGACCTTCTACACACAGTTGATTCTAAACTAGCACTGTCCTTTATATCCCTGCAAGCCTCGAGAAGGAATTCCTTGCAGTCTTTTTCGACAACACCCGCTGCCTCTGCAACGAGTCTTGTGCGAGAGCCCGATACGGGCACGACTACCCTTCTGGGAGGGCCTCGAGGCTTAGTGTCCCCAAGAAACGCATCAGTGACATGCGACAACCAGTGCCTCCCGCAACCAGGACTGACAACCTGGCGAGGGCAGGCGGCTCCTGCGACATGGGTGTTTGTCCACGAGTTCGTCGACCTGTACAAGAAATAGCCACCCAGAGAGTTCAGCAGGAGATCAACAACACAAGTTCGCAAGAGCAACCAAGCAAACARCACCTCACGAAGCACATCGTCACAATCCAGTTGGCGGCCGCCTATACACCTCCCCGAAATCGACGAAGCAAACAACACTTCACGAACGGGCTGACGAGCGGAAAGAAAGCAGAGAAAGTCAGTGCTTACCAGGCCTAGCTACCACTTCACCAGAGCCCACCGATGGCAGTCCCAGCATGATTGGCACCCCTGCGCGCGTCGACGCGGCGACGACGTGCTCCAAACCCACAGGGAAACTTGACAGGCTCGAGATGTCGGCGTCGATGACCGTAGACAGTATATTCGTCTCCGGACAAAGAGCGTCGACGTCCACAACATCGACAGGTTGTGTTTTCTCCATTGCCACTGTGTCGTATTGTGTTGGGCTCAATGTCCCATGGATGTCCAACAACACCTCTCCCCCCCTTAACTTCTTGTCCCCGTATGCTGTGTCTTTGTCGTCGTCACTCAAATAGAGAAATCTATCTCCAATAGCATCAGAGGCCTTCTTCACAACGTCCTCCCCCATCGCCTCGTTGTGAAGGGCGGAGTACAAGGGATCGTCGTATCCCGGCTGAACTGGTAGCTCCACCCCGATGTCGCTGAGTGTCGGATCAATCCGGTCGTTGGCGGAATTGTCCTTGTCCAAAGTCGTCAGTAGTCGACAACCCTCAACGCCTACCAGTTGAAGTCCTTCGTCCGTGTGCCTCGGATGAATCCGAATCACGGTCGTCTCCAAAGATGCATCAGGGAGGGACATGTTCATAGGGCCCTGGTTCGGATTCATCCGAACCCCCGCAGTTTCCAATGACACCGACATAACCACTTTCACCGGGGAGTCGCTTACGACTGCTAACTCGGCTACGAGTGTGTTGGGCTCAACATTGGAACTGGTCGCCAACTCACCCTCGGCCGGACAGTCCGCCTGCAACTCCTTGTGGGCTTCCACGCACAGCATTACTGCATCCTGACACCGATCGTCTATCATGGTAGACACGACTTCCTGGTTCGGATGAATCTGAATTTCGTCGCCAGGGTTCTTGGAAACACGGACCACTCGTTCGAGTTCTGTAGACAGCTGTGCTCCCTCAATGGCACGGCCTTCGCGGTTCGGATTAATCCGAACTTCCTTTTGAGGCGAAACGGAACACGGTTCCAGCTTGTCGCTGCCAGACCCGTGGTATGTTGTCGTCTCGCTTCCCGGAAGGCACTGAGTTCCAGACAACGACGTCGTCTCTGAGGTTCGGATTGATCCGAGACAATCCGCCAACCGTTTTTGGAGCTGAGCGAAGCATGTTTCATGCTTTGCGACACCCGCCCCGCCAACCGCATCGACAAACTGTGTTTCGCTGGTGGAGCTAATCACAGGGTCCTGCTCGCCAGGCCGCGTAATACACTCAGGCCTCAAGTCGTTCCCCATCTCCATTGAGGTGTTGCCTGTTACCACCAGAACCCCACCGTCCTCGTCGCGGTCGACATCGGACCCCTGCCCGTCTCCTCGGTGATGCTTCGTCTTTTCTCCGCTGCGAGGCTTTTTCTTCTCCTGGCTGCCCTTCTTCCCCTCTCCGCCGCATGCGTGCCCCGGAGACCGCTGTTTCGTCGAACGCTGTTCACTTCCACCTCTGGTACCTCGTTGCCCGCCGCCTTCACCATCCCCGTCGCCGTCCTTTCCGCGAGACTTGCGCTTCACAACTCCTGCCGGCGGGGTGACCTCAGGCAACTCCCAACTCACTTGCTTAATTGACGGGCTTGACGGAAGGGCGTAGAACGCAGAGGACACTTCCAGCCATTTATTTGACTGCAATAACTCGAACAGCGTGTCCCCGTATTCGCGAAGAGCAGGGTCGTCCTTACTTCGTTGATTGACCTCACTTAATCTCTCCAATACCGCATCGTAGGCGCGAGATTCAAATGTCTCGAGGTCCCAACGATCGTCATATATCCACCCTCCACTTACGTCCCTCACAGCCACTACCTATTCGCCGTCGAGAAGGACTGGCTGGAAATGGTCTGGGTGCCACACGTTATCATGGCCCCAATCTTCGGCTGTGGAGAAGGTGTGTTTGTAGCCCATGTGGAAGGGAGTCGCAGGAGCCTTGAGATGCGGATGGTCCGGAGGAACTAGATGGTCGGGTCGAAGACGTTCGGGCTGCGGTGTGAGACGAATAGGCTCCCCCGGCGAACTTCTCAGATGGGACAACCCACCCGTTCTGACAGGCGCTGAGGAGGACACGGGCGTGGGACCGCCCGAGGTAGGTGTAGCGAGAGGTGTCCCCAGTTTGCATACTGATGGCAACTCAGAAACTTGGGCGTTGAAGATGGCCAATTGCCCGTCCAAATCGAAGAGGTCGTCCTCAACGCTCTCCTCCTGCTCAGTCTCGATATTGAAGTCGTCCTCCTCATCGAATGCCAGCTTGTACTTATCCAAAGTTAAGTCGGACGGATCGACAACATCCTCGTTAAAAAAGACATATTCCAACCTCTTAATGAAGCTCACAGCGCCGGCCCGACTCGCTCCGTGGTATCCCAGGATGACCGCAATGGCGACTTCCTTCCGCACCACGTACTGCGGGTCAAATCTCAACCTTGGTTGTTCGCCGTAAAGGAACGAGTAGACCTGGCGCCTTTTCTTCGGAGTCAACTTGAAGAACATGTCCTTGTTCGGGTCATAAACGGGCTCGACCACGACATGGTGGAAATCGCATGGGTAAGCCTTGGACGACACTTCATGGGTGACATACTGCACGGTATATTCGAGCTGCGTTGTGTCCCCATCCACGGCCAAGACGTGCCTTCCTGCTGAAGCAGACTCCACACCACCTGCGCGTGCGGCTTGCCCAAGAACAGCACGGCATCCGCCACACCATAGAAGAAAAGAAGCTGATTGCACAACTGATTCGGATTCCGCTCGCCGTCCTTGTACAGAGCCCCCCTCTGGGTCAGGTTTCCGATGTCCGCGAAAGTCAAGGACTTGAAAGACTTCTCCTCCACATCCGTGGGTGTCACTTTCTGTTTCCTCCGGAGAGCGGTGGCGTTGTCTTTAGCAACAACTCCCTCGTACAACGGGTGAGTAAGTAGCCGAGGATCCTCGCCTTTGAAAAGGATGTGCATCACATCCGGCTCCTCTCAGACGCTGTTTCCGAACTGATGCGTCTTCTTCGATGCCGTCTTCCGAACCCACTTCCCCGTGTAGCATCGGGTAGCCCCAAGCGCAGACAAACATGTCATGAAGGAGAGGTTCCACAGGCAGGGGACGAATACCACCAATGTCCAGTAGTCCTCACAAACGAAGCCCAACAACTCCCTCAAAGACGCGAATGCCGAAGAGTCCCATTGCGCACGGTCCACAGTACCGCATAAGTCGAGCACGCAAGTGTGGGAGCGTAGCTGATGCCTTAGTTTTCCCAGCGCCTCCTTATGATCTTTGGCACTCAATGGGTTGACGTTAAACTGGGCCAGCGTCGTCAAGGCGCTTGTCCTTGTCCACATAATGTTGATGCATTCATCAACGCCCCGAGGGCTTTTTTTGCCTTTGGCGCGATCTCCAGTAATCACCAAAAGGACGACACGCTTCCACTCCGCCGGGAATTGCTGGTCGTTGACGAGGGCCGCCGTTCTCTTGATGTTGTTGTCGTGTTGACACCTGAGAACTGAGGGCACTTGTTGACGTATGTGGTGTCCGTGAAAAATTTTGTGCTCTCGTTCCAAAGCTTGTCGTCGAGACCTCTGTCCTTGAACTCTTCGAACAGTTGCTTCTTGGACCTGAAGAACATGGAGTTGGCATTCCACTCCCGCTTATCCATTTCCTCGTACTCGAACTCCACGTAGTGCCACATCCTCAGCATAATCCGGTCCATTTTTATTATGTCGACCATCTCCTTAACACTAAACTTCCCCTGCTCGGCCAACTTTTTGCTACTCGTTTGAACCCACACGACGTTAAGGTTCAAGACGCCGTTCAACAGCCTTTTCTTCTCGCGGTCCGTCAAGTCCACCAATTACTTCCAGCAGTGGACATCCGGCTCCGGAACTTGGACGTAGAAAGTTTTCTCCTCCACGCCTTTCTTTGGCTTCCCCCTGCCCTTTTTCCACGACAGGTCGTCCACCTATATGTACCAGACGTGTTTCTTCAGCCCCTGGCTGTCAGTCACAGTGGAGAGTCCTGGCTTGGCCACCTCCTCATGGGTGGGCGGCTTTTCAGTCCAACGCCGGCCGTCGRAAGCAARGAGTTTCCCTTTCGACCAYTCCTCATAGAACTTCAACCCCAAAGCGAAGACGGAGTCATCTGYCATGGCCAGCGGGAGGTAGTATCGAAGTTTYTCAGCCCATTCCTTTCTTTTCTTTGCTTCCGTTGACAGGTTCCAGATAGGTGTGTACGGCGTCTTCTTCATTGCCAACGCCATGAACCGCACCCACTTTCGCACCTCGTCCTGTTTCTTCAAGGCATTGCCGAGCACCACACGCGATTTGCCTTTAATTTTTCATATATTGCGAATATCCCGCATAGACAAAACCTGCAAGCGCGGTGGATTCTTCTTGTCTTTCATGTTGTCTTCGCAGCTGACATGGGCGTAGCCGTCGAACTCGTCGTCAGGGAAGTAGATCGGTCAGAACGGCCATTTACAGAAGTTGTAGTAATCAAACACGGGATGGTCTTTCACCATCATCGCCGCCCTCGTGTTATGCTGTCCACACACAGGATAATACCAGCATTTTTTCGGGTGTGAGTTGTCGAAGTCAGCAGGCAGCATGCGCACAGCAGGCTCGCCGTTCTCTGGAGGCGCGACGATCGGAGCGAGAACGAAAATGGGCTTCGTGTATCTCATGTCTTTGCGTTCGTAGCAGTCGATGATAGCCGACGCGATGGTATCAACGAGGAACTCGTCCAAGGATCGGTGGTTGTATGCGTCTTCCCAGTCTGGAATAGCTAATATTCTTTCGAGATGGATGTGCAACACGACGTCCTTCTGCACCCCTGTCTGCATCTCGAGGAAGAACGCATTGTCGAGGTTAAAGGCGTTGAGGTTAATCTCCACGTCGTCATCCTCCTCCCCGCTGTCGCCCTCGTCTGCTTTCTTTCCCCTCGATGATTTCGACCGTTTTCCGGAAGACTCACCGGTTCTTCGCCGTATCGACGAGTCTTTTGGTGTTTTATCCCCACCTCCAACCCTTTTCCTCTTCTCAACGGAACCGCCCTCTCGTGTTGTTGGCGTCCGAGCACTCCCTCCTGCCTTTCTCTGCCTTTTCAGAGCACCTACTCCCTCGCGCTCTTCCTCATCTGGCAAGTTGCGCTTGCCTCCCGACTGAGTCTTTTCAGTCGATCTCTCACGGAACGGCCCCTGCTCGGACACCTCCTCCTCACCGGCGACGTTCCCACTTGCTTCTCGTTCCTGGCTCAACTCCGTCTGCAGTTGCGCCGGCGCTGGTCGGGCCTGGCCAGTTGTCTCATCTGACCCACGCACCTCCCGAACCTACGGACCACCCGCTCGATCTCCAGGTGAAACCTCGGCCACCTGCATGCCACAAACAAATGAACCGATCCTTTCGACCAGACCACGAGGAGTCGTCGATTCTGAGCCCTGTCGCAACCGTTCGCCATCGCCGCCTCCATGTGGCGTCGACTCCCCAAGCAAACCGTGGCGGCGAGATACATGCAAGCCCGGTTTCAAAGGAGCACGCAGATGGTCGTCCTCAGAGTCTTCTGACATGCCCACCTCTTGATCAGGAGGCATATCTGGCAGGCCACCCTGACCTCCCATCCCCCCTTCAGACCACTCTCCTCCCGCGAACCCAACAGGACCACTGATCGATGTTCCAAGTCCAACGTCCATGACACTGACAGAGGTACCAGATTTCGCCCAGACCTCGAGGAAGTCTGTGACGTGAAGGGCCTCGTCGTGCCCCGGCGCTAGCGGGACAAAGTGAGGCAAAGACATCGCACGACGGCCGTACCCGCCGAACATCCTCCCAGCAACCTTGCATCCCTTTGCGATGTCGTCGACAGAACCATCACTTCTGTAATGCTTCTTCAACGTAAACTTGAAATTGTATTCGCCATCGTCGACCCACTGGACGATGGACCCTGCGAGACGCGTTCTGTCGGCGCGAATGGTGACGAACAAGAGTGGCTCGCACGGTGGTTGCAAAGGGTCGGAGCCGTCCTGGCTCGCCCAGTCCAAATACCAGACACGTTTGCTGTAGTCGCACCAAAAGTTTTGAGCACGTCGTTCTTCCTCCCCACCTCCAACTCCCCGACTCGTTTCCCTTGTCGGCGACGACGTCGTCCCTCGACGCTCCTCTCCATGCGGGGTGGAACCACCAGCGGAGCGGCCTCGTCCGTGTGAAGCCATTCCCTGAAACACACGGAGGAAATGAACCCACATTCACTCAGAACAGTCAGCACGTCCCAACATCAACCACGACCCACAACACGTGTTCTGTTATCGGTCACCCAGACTCCAAAAGAACGAAGTTCAGTCATAGTTGGACGACAGTGGTCCACAAGCCTTCACGTTTCGGATGAATCCGAGGCATCGTGAGGCATCCTCGTCACACTGCCCTTAAGAGAATGAATGGTCGAAAACGAAGACCGCGGGATAGATCGGATACATCCGAAGCAGGCGCAGTCGAAAAACCGATGTCGCATAGGCACCTGCACCGGGAAAAGCAACACCTCGCAAAAAGGCCCTAGAACGCTGATACGGCAGACGAAGACGAATACGTTGTCATCCGAAGTCGACAAGTGGATTGTAAAGTCCGCCGTTGTAGTTTGGATGAATCCGAGCTCCAAAGCGGTGTGGACCACCCCCTTTCGGCCCGTACGAAACCGAACTCGAGTTTTCTTGTCCTTCTGAGTCGGTAACGGTTGTGACTCGGATGCATCCGAATTCGAACAGCGCAATCCAGAGACGGTCGTCCACAAGAGGTCATCTACAGCACGTGCTTTCGTCACCGACCTGTGAGCACTGGGTTAAACCTATCCTGTCGGAGGTTCGGTTCGGTTGAATCTGAACTTCGCAAATGTGGCTCGGATTAATCCGAGATGGGGACCAGCGGATGGACCCCACGGTCTGTTGACGCCCATCCAGCCATCCAAGCTTCCGTTATTCCCCAACTGTCGTCGGGTCCAACCGAATTTCGCACGGTGTGTCTTCGTCCTTGAGTGTTTAAGACGTCTGTGGCTCGGATTTATCCGATTTCGACAGAGGCTGTCCCGATACGTGCGACCACGATAGGCTGCGCCGACACCGTGTGCTTTCGACGTACAAGTTTATCAGACCGTGTGACGTCGTCAATACCCTCTGCGCATGTGGTAAATTCGAAAATGTCACCGGTGTGGTTCGGATTAATCCGACTTCGCCGAAGCGCTTCGCTTTGTTGTCGCCCCACCACACACCGGACCTCCCTGCGATTGTCGTAGTGTGTCATTATAATCTGTGCGTCATCACGGGGGATATCGTCGTCGTCGTGAGTTTTAGTTGGTTGTTGCTCGCCCAATCCAAACAACAGACACGTTTGCTGTAGTCACATCACAAGTTTCGAGCTCGTCTTTGTTCCACCGAGCGTAACCATCTCGACTCGTTTTAGTTGCGTGAATCCGAGGCATCGTTGACCCCCGTCATCAGACTGCCCTTCGTAGAGCAAATGGTCGAAAACGAAGATAGTGGTAGTTCGGACACATCCGAACTGGGCAGAGTCGAAAGACCGACGTTGTGACTCGGATGCATCCGAATTAGGCCGACCACAAGAGGAGGACATCGGCACGGCGTGTTTTCCTCAATGACCTGTGAGCAGAGGGTGGACCCTATCCTGTCGGAGGTGTGGTTCGGATTAATCAGAGACGGAACGGTCTTTTGACAGCGTGTGATTTCGTCGTTCACGTTTATCGGAACGTGCTGCATCGTAAATACCGTCTGAGCATGTGACAAATCCAAATTTGACGTCAGTGTGGTTCGGATTAATCCGAACTTCGCCAAGGTGCCTCGGTTAGTGGTCGCCCCGTGAGTTTTAGTGGGTTGTGGCTCGGATGCAACCGAAATTAACAAGGGTGGCTCAGATACGTCAGTTGTTGCGCCACCACAAGATGGTATGGACAGGGTGGGCTGTCGTCCTCCTGGTTGGTCAAACATGTCGCCGTCAACAATACCCTATGAGCATCTGATCGCTCTGTGTCCTGTCCTATGTCCAAGTCAGCGGAAAGGTTCCTCGCGGCGTTCGGCTGACGCGAGGTTTGATAGGGTTTAAGGATTTGAATTCGCGTTCGCCTCCTGTGTCTTCGAATCTGTCGTAGCAGTCTTCGGATTACTGATCTGTGATTGCACTCAGGGGGGGACCAACCTGAGATCGGTTGAGCGACTGTCTGCGATAGACAAAGATTGGAGAAAGGCAGAAAACTCGCATAGACACGGAACAGAGACTAAGATCGATAGAGACGTCGACAAGGAGAGGATGCGCAGCGAGAGAGCCTGTCTTTAGCTCTCTGTTTTTCCATGTGCAGATCCTGCGGATGGTGTTGTCCATTTCGGAATTCGCAATGTGACCCTTTAATAAAACGGCACAAAAGAAATATAAGAAAAAATTGTTCGTGTCGGCGAGAAAAATTGGCCAAAAATATGAAAAATTCGACGAATGTGGAGGACATTTTACGGATACAGAACCGAACGCCGAGCGAACTGCACGACGCGACTTACGTGGGAAACGAATAAACAAACTGAGCGCAATAAAAATTAATTCGGCGCGAAGAAACTCCATGTGCAATCCAGAAGAGACACGATTCGTGAGAAACCATGTTCTCGTGTTCGACAACATACGATTGAAATCCTTATATCGCACTTCGTGAGAGAGACAATATATTCGCGAGTCCCATTTCGTTGGTGACCACTCGCCCCGATCAGATGGCACACTCACATGTTCACGTGACAGCTCCTGAACATGTGTGGCAACGATCAGATAGAGCCCCACATCCATCAGCGTGGCCATGCTTGTTCAGGACGTGACACGTGGACGTCTGAGTGTGCCATCTGATCGGCGCGAGTGATCGCCAATGAAACGCATGCATTCTTGCGCCCGAAACTCCTTCATCTCGCCCCGATCAGATGGCACACTCACACGTCCGCATGTCATGTCCTGAACATGTGTGGCCACGCTGATGGGTGCGGGGCTATATTGTAGCCTCGCATCCATTCTGCTGCCGCATATAGCCCCACATCCATCAGCGTGGTCACGCTTGTTCAGGACGTGACACGTGGACGTCTGAGTGTGCCATCTGATTGGTGCGAGTGATTGCCAATGAAACGCATGCATTCTTGCTCCCGAAACTCCTTCATCTCGCCCCGATCAGATGGCACACTCACACGTCCGCATGTCATGTCCTGAACATGCGTGACCACGCTGATGGGTGCGGGGCTATATTGGAGCCTGGCATCCATTCTGCTGCCACATAGAGCCTTGCGTCCATCTGCGTGCACACTCTTGTTCAGGAACTTACACGTGGACATTGACTGTGCCATCTGATCGGGGCGAGTGGTTGCCAATGGAACGAGATCCGCAAACGCACCCCGAGGTAAGTTCGGGGGCGAAGATGGTAGTTAAACACGACGGGGGCGAAGATGGTAGTTAAACACGACGGCACACACGACCACGTGTCAAGTCCTGATCATGCGTGGCCACGCTGATGGGTGCAGGGCTCTATTCGACAACATTCTGTTGCCGCATAGAGCCTCGCATCCATCAGCGAGCCCACGCTTGTTCAGGACCTGCCATGTGGACGCGTGCGTGTGCCATCTGATCGGGGCGAGTGGTCGCCAATGGAACTAGATTCACGACATAGAGGCACTGATAGACGATGGTGGTGGAACACGACGCTGTTGGTTCTGTCTCGTTCGTTTGTCTGCGCTTGTCAGTTGCGTTCGCTAACTTTGTGCGAACGACACAAACAAGCGCAGTGAAACGAATGAGATAAAAGACAGAAAGAGAGATAAAGAGATAGTGAGAGAGAGAGAGCGTGACAAAGAGGCGATCTCCGCCTTCATCACACGGCCCAATCAAACGTCACGATCAAACGGCCCCGAACGTCATAGACTCCCTATTACACATCGGACTCACGGACAAAAATCCCTGTTGGATCACATGACACTGCTCGTTCGCGGCGACTAAACCCAATGTAATCGCCACCGCGCGAATCCGGACTACAGATCGCGTACATGTGTGGGCATTCTGACGGTCTACACAAACCCAGCATGGCAGGACTTTTCAGGTCGAGGAGATGGCGAGAGAAAGAGAGACAGAGCGAGAGAGCGAGAAAGGGAGAGAGAGAGAGAGAGAGAGAGAGAGAGAGAGAGAGAGAGAGAGAGAGAGAGAGAGAGAGAGAGAGAGAGAGAGAGAGAGAGAGAG